TGAATATTTAATTAATCGTTACATAGACGCAAATTTATTGATTCCAAGTAACATATTAAACATTACATTATTTCTCCACTTCAAAGAATGTTTTTTTTTACGATACATTTTTTTATAAAGTGTATGACTTCAGTTAAATATCGTGTTCAAAAACTTGTTGAAGGATTCTTAAAAATTGAATTGTCTACTTTTAGCTGAGGGAGAAATTTTTGTTGACTTTTTTGTAAGGCAATGATACTTTTCAGTTAGTGAATTTTTCATTTTAATTGTTTTTAATTAACAATTAATTTTCAGAATTTATTGTTAAGAGAACGATTCGAGGCATAAACAGAAAGTGATTTTTTTATTGATGCAATATAAAAGGACATTATCGTCAATCTCTGAAATAAAAATTAATAAATAAATAAACATAAAACAAATGTTTTCCGGCTTAAAGATAATAAAAGTGAAAATGAGTTTATGTTTATACTAAATTTCACTTCAAGATATTTATCACAAATTTTTTGTAAGTAATAAAGTTTTATCGATATAATCTCGATGTTTTCCAAACAACTTACTACACGTTGCTTTTAAACCAACAAGTATGACACATCCTAAAAATAATCGAAAGAATTAATGAGCGAAAAGAAAGTCTCTTTACAACACATAATCAAGAAAATGCCTCACAAAACTTAATCTCTACTTAATATAAGTGAGCTAAGAGTAATGAAGCTCTTCTGTATAAAATTTGTTTGCATTTGAACGAAATTTATATCCTCCCAGCAGTAGCTTCGTTTATCGCTTAGGAATAATTCACATGGAAAACTCACTCTGCACGGTATCCCCACTCTGATACTTAGCATTAAGGTTCATGATCGCTTTAGGTCACGGTATGACCCCGAAGACTGTAAGAGAAGTCACTATGATCTTCAGCTTAACTCGATGCATCAATCGAAGCGCTATCGGATCTAAGTGTTGATGTTGCAGTAGAGAGTGATGATTAGTATGGACAAATTTGATATGATAACAACTGTCTGTAGATGTGCGTTTTAGGTTAGCGTTCCATTCAATCAAAATTGTACAAACAAGGATGTTGCAAAATGTTGAGTATTCTTTACGAAATTCCTGAAGAATGAATAAGCTGATATTGTTTATTTCAACGGATACTGATATTGGAAATGAAATAGATAATGAAATAGAAGGAATAAAGCAAGGATAACTATTTAGCACTGTTAGGAATTTAGGTAATTTTTTTCTAATTTTGGTTAATTTGTTAATTTGGTACTTAATTTATTTTTATTCATTAAAAATTATTATGGTTCAATAATGTAAGAAAATTAACTAAGAAAATATTGAGAAATTTATTGATTGTATCATATCATTTCTGTAATTTCCTATAATTTTAAAAATTAATTAATTTTAAATACTGATTTTACAAGTAATGTTACAAATAAATTATGAGTAAATCCATCAATGATTAATATGATCAATATGGACTAATTTGACATGATGACAACTGTTTGTAGACTTGGGTTATAACCTAGTGTTTCATTCAATGAAAATTGTAAAACAAGGATGTTACCAAATGTTGAGTAATCTTTCAGAAATTTCTGAACAATAAATATCCAGATATTATTTATTTCAAAGAATGCAGATTTTGGAAATGAAATAGATAATAAAATAAAAGGAATAAAGCAAGCATAGCTGTTTAGTACTGATAGAAATTTATGTAATTTTTTGAATTCTAGTCAGTTACTTATTTTGGTACTTAATTGTATAAAATATTTTTAGTACAATAATACGAAAAAAATTAATTAATAAAAAACAGTAAGTAATTTACTGATTGCTTGGTTCGTGTCAGTTTTACTGAATTTTCATACATATTTTAAAAATTTAATTAATTTTGAATAATGATGGGCAATAATTTAACAATTAATCTTAAGATTAAATTTATCAATGATTAGAATGGACAAACTTAATACGATAACAACTGTCTGCAGATGTGCGTTTTAGGGTAGAGTTTCTTTCAATGAAGATTGTACGAACAAGGATATTATATGTAGAGTATTATTTACGAAATTCCTGAAAAATGAATATACAGATGTTTACGTCAACAGATACTGATTTTAGAAATGAAATAGATAGTAAAATAGGAGGTATAAGTATTTTGAACTGTTAAGACTTCAAGTAATTTCTTTAAATGTTGGCTACTTGCTTATCTTCGGTACTTATTTATTTTTATTATTAAAAATTATTTCAATACAGAAATACAAAAAATGAATAAGCAAGAAAAAAAAATCTCTCTTTCTCTCTCTCACATTATATATATATATATATATATATANTATATACATACAATGATATTGTGAGAAATATATTGCTATTTGTTTTAATACAAGAAAGTATAAAATATTTTTATTTTATAATTTATAACCAACTAAAATGTGAAATTTTAATCTATTGATTTTTTTATGCATTGATTTTATATATTTTTATATATTGATTTTTTATACATTGATTTTATATATTTTTTGTATTGATCTTACAACAAAGGAAACCGATTAAATCGCAATTTTCCATATATTTTAAAGTTTTGAAACCAATATTTTTTTGATTAGCGAATATTTGTAAACAAAATTTAATACATCAGCACTTAAATAATTTAAAGATTTAATTCATTTTTAGAATTTATTTTGTATATAACAGAAACAGAACGTCAGAGATTCATTTATTTCATTTAATCAGACTTTCTAAATTAAAATTATAAGCTCCAAACTTCAAACGGAATTAATTAATTACATAGACAAAATGTGGAAATCAAGAAAATAACCGTAAAAGTTTAGACATAAGTTTATATTTTATTAAATCAAAATGTATTTTACCTGAAACAATATAATAGGATATCACACGAATATTAAAAAAAAAATCTATGTAATGTACTAATAATTTATTCATGTCTATGAATTATTGAATATATATTTTCAAATAGCTTTCATAATATGAATGCAATATGCGTAATTTTGTAGTTATTTGCTCAAGAGGAAAAACATTTTGTAGTTATTAGCAGATAAAATGCAAATTTTTTTTATAAGCATATAAAACAATAAGTTTTTTTAACTATCAATTAGATGGAAAAATCAAAATTTGCATTTATTTTAGTTTAAAATACACTATATCCTGCATTAATAATCGAACAATAATGTTAATTTCATAGATTAAAGGTGCAAAGCCTTAACATAACTGTAGAAAAAGAAGCAAGATCTAATGAGTATCATTCCATTAAAGGAAAAAATGAAGGGGAAATATAATTTTAAATTCACATTTTCTACTTTCTTTTCGAGATAAGTTATTTATGCATTGTTTTATCAAATACGAGAAATATTTTTCAAATGGAAATTACATGTAATATTCCAAATAAAGTAGTTAAATAAGTTACAAATGGAGAACAAAAATGTAGTAAAAAATGTTTTTTTTTCTCTCCATATTTTAAGAGACAAAAAGGCGAGCATTGTATAAACTGCTTCTATTTTAACTAAATAAAAATATAACATTTCTTAAAACGTCTCGATAGATGAGTATATAACGTTTAAACTTGTTAGTAGCTGATTATTAGAAAGACAATTATTTTTTTAATTATTTCATTTTAGTATCTATCTATTTAAAATTTAAATCTAATCTTAGACATGTAATTACTTGTTTAAAACACTATTTGATTTTAAACAATTGATGTTAACACCACCCTCCACGCAGCACAAGTGATAGCGAAAATACATCAAAAATATTTAATTATTGTGTTTCCAAAACTTTTAATAAATCATAGCGAGCTTTAAAAGTTTTTTTTTTCCCAGTTAATTCTGAAACCATTATTTCAATTTTTCACTTACGTTTCTGTAACGAAACTTCAAATACTCTTTCATTTATTTCATTAATGCTATACTTTGGTGATTTCCTCAAAATAGCCATATTTGAAAAGAAAAATTAAGCAATTTCAATAATTTTAAAATTTTTGTGAAAAAATAAATGTTTCATTTTGAAACTTGAATCAAATTAAAGATATATAATTATAAATGAAGACTGAGATTGAAGTTGGAAATTATTTTTGAACCATTTTTTAATAATTTTTTGCTTACACTACTTTCTCCCTTTAAATGATAGGAAATTTTAGCAAAACCACATTTGTTTAGTTGTAAAACTTTCAACATTAATTTATTACTTTATAAGTATCAATTTTTTATTACTTAAACTGGTTTTTAAGGTAGAAATTAATACATGTACGTATCTTAGAAATGCTTGCAAGAAGTAAATTTATGAAAAATAATTAATATTTTATGATTAATATTTAAGAATAATTTTTATAATTTTTCAAAAAGTTATTTTCTAACTTTTTTAAGAAATTTTAATTGTTGCAGGTAGGTTAATATTTTTGAAAAACAAGAATAAAATCAGAAATACAAGTATGCAAGAACTTTTTAAAATAACCAAATTATTTGTATGTTTTACAGAAATATAGAATATAATTTCAATATATTTAAATTTTTGTTAAACAATATAGAATTTAATGCTTTACTCGCTGGTTTAAAAGTTAAAGGAAAAGGAAACGAAAGCCACAAAATATGTCTACTTCGATAGAATTAATATAGATATTTTTTGATAACAATATCTGCTAATCTATGCTTGATTAAAAATTATACCGTATTAAAAAGTTGAATACATCTTTTTCCAATGGTCAAAGTTGCTTATCAATTAATTAGTTACTAATAATGAAACTCCTTCTTCTTATTACTTTAATGAGTCACTAAATAAATGAAATGATACTTCTTTCCAATAAACTAATTATGAATTTATTTAAACACTGAATATTAAAATTGGAATCACTAAAGATTAATTAATTCTGTAGATTTTTCAACGCATTTTGTTGTTATTAGTATTTAATTGCATCGCCTATTTAAAATCAAAAATATTCATTTTAGAGTTTAAAGAATTAAACATTAAGATTTATTAAATAATGTTTGTATTTGCAGGCTCTTTCTAGAATATTGAATTGAGTTACTTGTTTCAACTTAATGTTGTTTTACGAAAGGTGAGCATGTTTTTATACTTCAGTGATAATGATTACGAAATATTATTTTTTAAAGCAATTTAGATAAATTTATTTTCTGCTAAAGCATATTATGAAGATTGAAATAATTTTTAGTTTTTATTTAATATGTATTTACATAGTTGCTCGGAATTTCAGTTGGTACATTATGCATTATAAAGCTTACATTATGTTTTTTAATACCTCATTCTTCGTTCATTATTAATGTAAAAACAGCATACCCTTAAGCCTTTTAATTATCATAACATACATTGCAAAACAATCTAGATCAAATTATAGTATTACCGGCAGTGTGTATGCATCATCCGTAATATCCATTTTTACTGTAAAATATTATACCATAAATTTTACAGTAGTATTTATTTAATTAAAGTGGTTAAATGATTTTATGGTAATTAATACTGTAAAAATTATGGTATATCAGACTTTATGTCTGTAACATGTTCCGGCAAATATAGATTTTATATTAAAATATACAGGCACTCCACGTACCGTTCATTTTGACCATAATTTGATCCGGAATTTTTCAAAAGCTTACTCTCCAATAATTGAAATTTTTGGGAAATACATTTATAAGTGGTTGTGAACAAAAGCTGAAACTTTTAAAACAAACAGAACTCTTTTGGGCGTAACTATTTCTTTATCTGAACTTTAATATATCTGTTCAAATTATCCTCTGTCAAAATTTTTCGGTTATAATTTATTAAAATATCAACAAATTTCTTTCTTTCAACAATAGAAAAATTAATTTCTGAAGCAATAAAAACTCTGTAAAACTTGGAGTGTATGCTATAGCACATTAAAAACCGTAGTGAACAAAAAATAGTATTTTTGAATCTAGTTAAAAAGAAATTAAGTTGAATTTTTTAAATAAATTGAAAGTTAAAAACATTTTTACAAAATATATAATACTAACTACTTCAGAAGTGAGACACTTCGAGCTAAATGTGTAAGTGAAAGCTATTTCTAAAACACTTATCATACATTTTGAGGTAGTGTACCAAACACATACGTAATTTACGATATATACGTTATGTAAATGTATATTAACTAATTAATATATACGTAAAGTATTTATAAGTGCATTTCTGGTATAAGTTAAAAATCCAGAAAATAAATAAGAAATTATCAATAAGAAATAAGTTCTTAAATTGGTATTCCATTTTGAAAACCGTTTTTAAGTATTAAAAAAAATAGCATATTTTATAATTAATAAACGAAAACTGAATTAGGTATTGAAACTAATTTTTGAACTATGAATCTTTTTAAGCAAAATATAAATTAAAACCATTTTTACGAAACACATAATATTACCCAATTAAAAAGTTTGACAATGAGTGCTAAATATATTTGTGGAAAATGCTTCGGAAATACTTCTTATGTTAAATAAATATAGGAGACATAGGAAAGTTTTCCCTTTTATGTAGAAATAGCAAATTACATTAAAGAGTTGTTTCTGCTGATATTAAGAGAATAGTTAATTTAACCTTCTAGCTCCCGTGAAAATGACGGAGGTTTCACCCTCTATTTCTCGCTCCCGTGAAATTTCCGGGCTGGAGTGTTCAGTAGTGACGCGCCAATAAGTATAAAACTAATTCATTTCTTTTGCCCGGAAAAGATTTTATTTCTCATTTTACACACTAGATGGCAGTACCAGGACATATTTAAGGTAATTGTAGATAGATGGTTTATTTTAAACTAGATATCAGCACAAGATATTTGGATGTCAAAAAGCAAATAGGCACTTTTATGATCGTTTTCTTGAAAATTAACCGATCGTTAAGGGGTTAATTACTCCGCTATCTCGATTTCTTTCATGGGACCAGAATTATTATTATTTTTATTATTTAAATTAATTAGATATGTTAATTTGTTTATCATGTAACTTTTTCATGATTGACTATTGCATACCCAGTATTTATAAATAATGAGAAAAAAATTTATTCTTAAAATAAGTATTATTGATTTAATGCTTATTTTGCTGCGTATTAACAAGTATAAAAGCATAAGAATGTAAATCATTTATAAAATACTTGGAAAAATAAACAAAGCTAAAAAAAATAATATTTGTGTGGTAATTTTGTAATTTTAGGAGTATGGTAGTTTTATCTCAGATATATGGATTCATGATCGATGATTAGCTTTCATTTGATGAGTATTAAGTCATATGTAGGAATACTGACTTAGATTTCTTAGAATCATTTCATATTTAGAAAATGCATAATATAGTTAAAGACATTTATAGCATCTCATTCTCTAAATGTTTAGAAATGTATTTTTTTAATTTATTCATCTTGCAACACTTGGGACTTTCAATGTGTCGCAATTACACCTGTTTCTGATCTTTCTTCTTTAGTTTTATTATTTTGTTCAAGCTAGTTCCCTTCTATCCATTCGGTCAATCTCTTTTCTACTTTTCACTAACATATTTGAAAATTACATCAGCATTTTTGAGCCCCTCTTTTATTTTATGTTTCGACACTAAAAAAGGTTTTTCATTATAGAACCAAAATCAGCATGTAAATTAATGAGGAAATATTTACGCTTATTTCACATAGTTTAAATTTATTTTTCGTCACTTATCTTATGGAAAATAAAACGTGGCAAACTAACTTTTTCAAAAAGGATTTAACTTTTTTTTTACTATGTTTATAATACATAATACGTAATAATAATACAATAAACAAATACATATACAAATTTTACTTGATGAACATTTGAGATTGAAGCAAATAAAGTAAGCAATCGTTTATCATTAGACAGTTCTCATTAAGCCATCTGGTTTTGTTAAAAACAATTTTAAAGTTTAGAGAGAAATATTTAAGCAATTAATGAGTATGCATCAGATTACAGCATTTTACCCTGCTTAGATTTTTTAATCACTATAACAAATGCATTTATAATTCCGTTTCTTAAGCTTTGTATAATTTATGCAATTGCTTAAAATGATTTATTTTCGAAATTGAAATACGATGCCTTATTTAAAAACTAGAAATTAAAATGAAAAGTTTTACCTTTATCTTTGACGAAGTAGCGACTAATGATTGTTATTGATTTTATTATTCCGAGATTTTATGTGTGGTGAAATTCTGAAAGCTGAAGTAAATTAAGGTAGGGGGTTGAAATCAAAGTCTCATTATAGTTTGCAAGGGATGTGATTTGAAATATAGGATCTTTTAATCTCAAAGTAAATTGAAGTGTCTTATTACTTTTTCGAACTGAAATTGGATATCAACCATTTTGATAAGCTATATTTTTAATGTATTTCTGCTTGCAAATAATTATGTAATTTTTATTATCTTGTTAAATAAGTGGAACTGTGAGGAATTCAGATTATTATTTAAAGTATAAAAAATCATAATTTATAACATTTCATAATGAAATGATTATACTATTTCATTATTCCTCATGTTTTACACTCACATCCACCATTGCTGTTACCAAGATAAATTGTTACGTTATTCTTCCTAATTCTCAATGACAAAAAACTATTCCTACTTATTATTTTAAATTCGTACTTAAAATTGTAATGATGTTCTAATAAAACAACTAATTTCTAACATCAACTTTATAATTTAACATCTGAAATTAGGCAGTTTAAGGAATTATACGAATAACCCAATTTTTACCAGCAGCTATGCAAACTAAGATATATAATTTTTTAAAAAAATTAGAAATATTAAGTTAATGAAAGTTGAAAAAATAATAAAATCAACAAAATAAGTCATTTATTTCATTTTTTATTGCAGTAAAATTTGTAGATTCTGTCTCTGGGTTACTCATATAGTGGAATTCAAATATATGCTTTAAATGAATAATTCAAATGAATAATGCAAATAATTGTTCATTAGTTTGTTGCTTAAAAACATTTCAAATTGCTTATACACTTTTTATTTTGCACCATTATGTTTCTAATTTCATTCAATTATCACACACACTATAAATGTATTCAGAATTAATCGTTTTAATGATATTTTGTTTTGGAAAAAGACTGATCAGGCAAATACCTAATAAAATGAAGAAGCCACTTGAATAACCCTGTGACACAGATGAGACACCAGTGTCCGTTTTACATATTCCTTTTTCTGACGCTAATAAAAGTACAGATGTATTTTGGTACTTAATTATGGAAATAGTCTAATAGTTTCTAAAAAATCTGTTAGATTATCAGAATTATATTTGTACTAAAATATAAAATTAAAAAAAAAACGCATGTTGAATTTTTTTTTGATTCATACTCAAAAATGTATCAATAATTGGTATTGTAACTTTAAGAAATTTCAATAATGAATAACTTTTTCTTTTAGATCTAAATAACTTCAAGTAAGTGCAAAAGTGAAAAATTATATATTATAATAGTATAAATTTTGCATACTTTTTATTACGAAAATTATAATAAGAAGTATGAAGTGAGCCGTGTTCGGAATATTTTACCTTTTACTCAAAAATATACACCACTGTCTCTTTGCTGCATTTCATAACTATACTTAATAGGATGCTAAATATAACATTTCCCTCATATTTTGACTTAATAAAAAATAATGAATACAAAATGAATAAAAAAAATAAGAAATATGTTTAATAAGTCTTCTGCGTCAAAGGGATAAATGGGTATAATAATGTGATGAGTCTAAAAAATAATAAAAACGTATACATAGAAAGATTTGATGAAAAAAATGTATATAAACTTACGTTTATTAAAAAAAATTAAATTATCTATTTCTACTACATCAAACTTAAAATTCGTTGATGGATATGCGCACCTCATCCCTCCACTAGAAATATATAAGTATGTCTAATTGAATGCTGAATGAAGTACTGTAGTTCATGCACAAATGCCAACTAAAATTATATAGTGTAAGAGCCTTCATGAATTTATATACTAATAAAAGTTGTATTTATTGATTATTACTAGAGAAACTGATTTATTTTTTCTTTAAGTATTATATCTAAGAAGAACTATACATATTTCAAGGTAATTG